AGATTAATACCAAATTTAGAAATAATTCACTCGGCATTATTTTTCCTGCTTTATGAATAGCAAAATTAGTTATTTATTAAACTCATTTCGATATATGTCTTTAAAAATTAAAACTAGATTTCAGACCTATATACCTAGTAGTTTTTAAAATATTTTATTATAAATTTTAATAAAAAACCTTAATTAAATAGTTAACCTGTCTTACTTCTATCTGCTCATACTTTAATATCTTATACTTTTAATAATATTAATAACATTTAAAGTGCATAAAATATAAGAAGTAGATAATAATAACGAAGAAGTCTGCAAAAAATAACTAAATCATCATTAAATGAGCATTTTACCATATTCTTAGCGAGCTACTAGTTAAACAAAAACGAGCATGCTCGTGAATTTAAAAGAACAAGGCATATTAAAGTTTGTTCGTGTGTATGTCAAGTTTTAAAAATGTTATTCAAACTTTTTCAAATACCTAAATAGAAAAACATATGTGAGTCATAATGAATGAGTATTGAGCTGTCATCAAGTATATCACTTCAGTCCATTCTATAACTATGGGCTTGATGGCATGGGCTATAATATGGGTAGCAGCCATGCTTGATAACTATTGCCACAAGTTATAAAACCGTCACTCTTCAAAAGGTCGTCGTTTACAGAGGTAAAGCAAAGAAATGACGAGGTCCTTGTTAAAATGAGAGCACGGCTACAGCAGAAAAAGAAAAAGAATATAACCAAGTAAAACATAAGGCGGTTTGAAATGGAGCTTAGTAGGGCATCATCGCAATCAAAAGAATTACCAATCAACACCATTAGAAGCTTCTATATTAATGAATATCATAGGGAGGATGTAGATGAATTATCTTGCCAAATAAACATCCTAAATAGATATGCTAAATAAAGTCGTGAATCATCAATGAATCGTTCCTATTTACAAAGGTTTTCTCTCAATTACAACTACTCAAACAAAATTTTCACATCGAACCAGCAGCAAAAAACGGCCGCACAAAAATGTTTAGGAAGTGAAGCAGTTCAAAAAACAGGATAGCATTTTAAAAACAATAGCATTGCAGTGAAATTTGAAGGCAGCAACAATGTAGCAAATTCCAATGGCCAAAGCAGCAGAACAAATAGTGCAAGTGGATAACAACAGCAAATCAGACTCAAGCAAGACAAGAATGACCAATATATTAAAATAGTAGCAGATTCAAGTGCAAAATCAGTAATGATGTTGACCTCGGCGTAAGTAGCATACATTTGTGCCATGGCCATGCATAATTGAGCCCATCCTACCATGCCGTAGCACCAAAAATGGGTGCGATGTAGCGATCTTTAATGTTCAAAAGCAAAAAACTCAGTTAAAATAAAATGAGAGAAAAGCCAATCAACCTAAGTAGAGTGCAATCAATCTAGAAACCAAGAGGATAGAGGGAAGAATCAAGAATAGACTTGCTACAGGAACTTCACTATGCTGCCAAAATGATGCCATCATCACAAAGTGAGGAAGATGGTAAAGATTTGTTAATCATAAAGGATAACAATAGCCTATGGTGGTTAGCCATTGGAGAAGGAAGAGTTGGTGGCGTTAAGCCGGACGAGGAGGAAGAGTTGGTGGCGTGGTTATGGGCTAACAGGCCAAGTATCTGGGAGTGAGTCAGTGAGAATAAGAGTGGGAAGAGAGTTACTTTTGGGATTAGAGAGGCTGCTATAAGAAAAAGTTTGCAACCGTTAGAGAGTAGGAATGGAGGGGAAAGATTAATGGGAGTAATCTTCTTACTACCTTTAGCAAAATCAAATCCAAGGAAGATACCAAATATTATACACACACACACACAAATATATATGCATACAAACATACATACATACATATACATAGATATATACATACATACGTACATATAAATATGTATATATATAGCTGTATCCACATATATGTGTGTATGTATGTATATATATATACATATGTATATATATGTATGTATGTACATATATCTATGTGTGTACGTATGTACCGGTCTATGTATGTAGTATATATATTAAATGGAGGGGAAAGATTAATGGGAGTAATCTTCTTACTAGCTTTAGCAAAATCAAATCCAAGGAAGATACCACATATTATACACACACACACACACAAATATATATGCATACAGACATACATACATACATATACATAGATATATACATACATACGTACATATAAATATGTATATATATAGATGTATCCACATATATGTGTGTATGTATGTATATATATATATACGTATGTATGTACATATATCTATGTGTGTACGTATGTACCGATCTATGTATGTAGTATGTATATATATATATATCTCTCTCTCTCTATATATATATATACTACATACATAGACCGGTACATACGTACACACATAGATATATGTACATACATACATATATATATAAATGGAGGGGAAAGATTAATGGGAGTAATCTTCTTACTAGCTTTAGCAAAATCAAATCCAAGGAAGATACCACATATTATACACACACACACACACAAATATATATGCATACAGACATACATACATACATATACATAGATATATACATACATACGTACATATAAATATGTATATATATAGATGTATCCACATATATGTGTGTATGTATGTATATATATATATACGTATGTATGTACATATATCTATGTGTGTACGTATGTACCGATCTATGTATGTAGTATGTATATATATATGTGTATATATATATATATATATGTATATATATATATATGTATATATATATATATATATATATATGTTATATATATATATAAACGGGGAAGATAGCACTCGTGGCGCATCTTAGGATTCGACTGAAGGAAGAAGTCTTCGCCTCAGCCGCTAGCACTAACGTGTCGGCAGAGGATCGTTTCATTTTCGGCAATCGTCAACAACGACGTGAGCTTCTGCGTCGAGCGTCGACCTCATCGAGCTGCAATCCGCGGCTTTTGCGTCGGCGTGTAGCTCTGCTGCCTGCGCCAGTGTTTCTCCGGCCCGATCTTCTGCTTTGTTTCTGCGCCTTTCTCTCCAGCCCGACGCAAATTTCTCACTGCAGGTGATAGCAGGTTGTTCTGATTGCACTTCCTTCTTCTTTTACTGAACCGACAAAGGCTTCCTTTGCCCATTTGGTGAGAAACCCTCAGGTGGAGTCCGTGGCGGTATTCCCCTCAAACTATAAAGAATGTCGCGATGATTGTCCTTTTGTTAAGAAAAAAAAAGTAAGAAAGGTAGGAAAACAACAATTTTTTTCTCTGACTCATAAATTTCTACCCTGACAAAAAAATTCAAGCTCTCATTAGAAAATTTCAGTGGGGACGCCCACCCATGGAGGTTATCAGAAAGAGCGTAGATAATCTTAAGTCAGTAGGCAAGTGGAAGGTGAGATTTATGGATGGTAGACATGTGTAGATCCAACTAATAATGACTAAGGACTACACCAGAATTTTCTCCAAGAAATATCTTAATATCGCAAGAAAAGCTATGAAGTTACTCAAGTCGTCTCCTGATTTCGACCCAAATCATGAAACTCCCACTATACCGGTATGGTTTAATTTACCTGGTCTCAAGCTGCATTTTTTTCACCATTAGGTTCTCAACTCTATCAGGGTCATCCTAGGGGATCCTTTGAAGCTAGATCTGTCTACTTTCAACCTAATCAGACCCTCGGTGGCCATAATACTTGTGGAAAGGGATATTACTTTACCAGATGTTACTGAAGTCTGATTGGGCACAACCCACAATGGATATTGGCAACAAATCTTCTTGGAACACAGACCCCCATATTGTACCCTCTATAAGATGTTTGGTCATATCCTTGATAAATGCTACAAGCTCCTTCCTAATTTGAAAACTAAGGTTCAAGTGAATAAGGATGGGTCTAACCCCACTGCTCTGGACATTTTAGTTCCACCTGGGGAGGATACTACCAGACAGGTGGTGTTTGTTGCCCCTGAGGACCCCCCTCATGACACTTCTTTTACTGTTACTGCGAGGGATGTGATGTTGGCACATTCAAACCTCATAGAAAACAATACTGATGGACTATTACCTACAAATGAAAGTGTTTAGACTGATAATCAAGAGAGCCTCGCAGCTCCACTTCTTCAGGAAGTATCCGGTGTAGAGACAACTCATACGTCACATATGTTAGAACCTATTGTGAGTACTATGGTTGATATTCCTTCTGCTTCAGCTCTACCACCCCATCAAATTGATTCTTCGTAAGAGGCCAATCTTCAGATGAGGAATGATGGGTCTATTCCAAGAGGAAGAAGAAGAATGGAGGCAGACTCAAGCTCCGGAATTTATTAGATGATACATTGGTTACTATTGGCAATGACACTCATATCACTAATTTATTAGCTGACTCCTTCCCTAGAACTAGAGCAGCTTACTAGCTTACTAGCTTACTATATATAACCAGCTTACTAGCTTGCTCCTTTCCTAGAACTAGAGGCAGAGGCAAGACCAAATTCGGTCGCTCTCTAGCCACCTGATACTATGTATTTTGACACTGTCAGGTTTTTTTTTTAAGTATATAATGTATTTTTCTGGTTTTTTCTAGTTTTGCAACGATTTGTGGTTTTTTTGTGGGCAGGGAGCCATGTTTGGGCCCTCCCACACGTTGTATATGTATCTTTCTTTCTACTTAATATATTAGATATATATTGTGTGCGTGTGTGCGCTCACGCGCGCATCTATATATTTGTATGTGTGAGTATGTATGTGTGCGTGCGTGTTTGTCTGAATGCATGCATGTATCTCGCATTTTGCCAATTGGAGAAATAAATGATTCTTATCAAATTAGAAGAAATTGCAGATGAATACTTAGATATACATAATTTACAGCTTTATCCTGACATGCAAAATATTATCAACAATCTGATCCAAAAAGGCAACCAATTCAATAAAGAAGTAAGACCGGAAGCAAAAGCAATTCATGAAGTATCTATGAGAAATGTAAGTTTCCATCTATACCTCATGACGTCTGGAACACTTAAAAATGGGAGATCCAGGCTTGGCCATAAAATCACCCTCTTGCCCACCAATAACAAACAGTTGATCCTTAGCAACAACACAGGACCTGGTTGAAAAACAATTTGCATTAACATATGATATAAAGGATAAACTCGCTCATATATTGGGCAGTTCAATGATAAAACAGCTATAATCATTTTGTTGCAAGACTTAATTGTAACCGTCCCATGAGGTATTGAAAGGTTAAAGATTCAATAAGCAAGCATCAAAAATGTTGATGACACAAAAACTAAGAAGGGAAGAAATTTTAAGAAGCTGTATCCGTTATGCATGAAGAGTAAAACTTTAAAACAACACAAATAACAAGCAAACCTATGTGGACCACCACGTGGTATTGGTATCTCAGTCCGCCACTCTTTCTCTAATGGCCTTCCATCTTTTACTGCCAGACTCCAATGATCCAAGCCAGGAGTATGGCGGTTCTCCTTACTACCACCCATGACATGGAGCCTTCCCCTCCAAAGTTGAGTGGCTGGAGCATACCTGAAAATGATGGCATCATAGACTGAAAATATGCTGCATAAGCAATAGATAAGCTATTTACAGGGTAAGCCATTTCTGACCACGTGAAAAAAATAATGAAGTTCCAGAGGACTTTATTAATTGAAAAAAAGAGGATTCTTTTAGCGAAAAAGAAAGTACTGTGAAAATAAAGAGTTTCTTTAAATTGTAAACATTTATTTCAACACAGAATGCACCCTTTATCATAAAAATGATTCAGCAAAAAACTTTAAAGTATCCAATCCTATTTCCATATGAAAAATACCTAGGGGCAGGTAAGGAGGGCAAGTCATGCCACTTTTTTGTCTGTGTGTCTAGCACAAAGCAGCGAGCTGTAGGGCCTCTACATTGTGGACCATATTGGCCAGTCACAGCATAAACATATCGGCCATCTGTAGCCATTCCTAAGTGAGAGTTAGCCATTTCTTCGGGCATATTAAACCTATCACACCATGTATTATCTGAGAAATTATAAATGTCCACGTGAGAATGCACCTAAAATGAAGAAAGAGATTAAGCTAATATTAGTAAGCACTATATTTGGCAACAATAACTGCTCTAAAGTGCAAATTTCAATAATCATAGAAAACTTTAAATCCTTATTCAGATGACAGGTATTCTGAGGCATAATGGAATATCACTAAAAAGCATAAAAATTCAATTTCATTAAAAACGATTTAAAGCAGCTGATAGAGTAGAATCATTATTGTAATAACCAAATTATATATCCTAAGTTTGATGGAGGATACTCCAGAAATGCAAATCAGATTGCAATGCCAACAACTATATTTCCGAAGTATAGAAGTTTAATAAATAGATAAGATTTTCAATGAAACCATTTTCTTTACAAAAGGTGCATTTCCAGAATTCAATTTATTTGTTTACTCATCAGTCACCACACATTTTAGTTTAGCTGCCACATCTGATGCAGGGTTTCAAGCTTACAGTCATCATAAGTCTACAATCAGTAGAACTGAAACAAGATTTAATCCTTGAATTGAGGATAACTGTTTTTTCTATTTAGTTTGACGTTTGAGGGCAAGTCTGAAGAAGTTTCTTTTTTTTTAATATTTTGAAGGTCCTAGGCTACAAATGCTAAACACATAAGGTTGCTTAAATCAATCCCTCCGCACCGCAACAAAGTATCAGTGTGGAAACTATGCACTGGAAATTATACACTGGATATGAACAATATTTAAATTGTAGTTTGAAATAGTTAAATCATTATTTTGGTAGCATGGATATACATTCATTAGAGCTTAGCAAAGAAAATCACATTTGGCTCTCTACAAGTGAACATACCATTTGGTCACTAAGAATAAATGATACATTCCAACTTATAATATGAGAAAATTTTTTTCCGTCTTGCCAGTTGGAGTACGTTAGCATATGCGTTAACGCTAACGCATATTTTACATAGTATAACATAGTGTTGTTGATAGAGACATTTCATCTGCTTAACAAATCAGATCTCGCCTATAAGCAGCTAGACCTAATCAAATCTTGGCTGAATCATGTTAATAGCCAATGGTTGCCAAGCTTATTGTGCTATTGTGAGGTGCTTGGGGGGTGATTTAAATAGGTTTATAAATCGTAAATGAGCTAAGGGGCAAACATGAAATTCATTTAGGCCAATCCCTCCAAGAAAGTGTTTGGTTACAACCTGGATTTATGTTAAATAGGATTTATCAAATCAATCCAATAAATTTGTACGACGGAGATGGAGCTCGCGAGCGATGGTAGAATAAATTGTTAATTCGCCTCGCAGTCAGATTTATTAAATTTTGATTTACATCATAAATGAGAAGGAATGCGATAAAAAGAGACGGAATGAGTAAAAATTTTATTTAATGGAGTGTTTATTTTTATTTTTGGATTTTGGTTGGATTCAAATTAAATCTATGGCTAAATCTTATTAAGTATGCTACCAAACCCTTATTAAGACAGGGTCCATTTATATAGACCTATACCAAGACCACTCATGAAATAGACTTACCCTTTTAATATGTCATATGCGGACCCCATTATCTTAATTCTGGTTAATTCTCATAGGGTCATCAACATGAACTTCTTGTTCATGGATGTCTAAGCGTGTGGCATGGGTCATATGCGGACCCCATTATCTTAATTTTGGTTAATTCTCATAGGGTCATCAACATGTATATGATCTCATATGTACTTCTTAACTTCTCTAACCAAGTCATTTTAAATGTATGACTTTTTCTTTAAGGAAACAAACTTCTTGTTCATGGATGTCTAAGCGTGTGGCATGAATAGAATAGGTGAAACTGCAACATGTTATTTATCTTACTCTCTCTCCCTTCTAATTCATTCTTTTTCCCTTTTATTTCTTCTTATCGCCTTTTCCAACTACCACTCCGTGTTGTTCTTAAATTTTTTTTTACAATTTGGGATATGTAATTAGTGATTGACAACTCTTCCGTGACTAGTGATCTACATCAATTAGGAAATGACAATCTTCTCTTATGTGGCCTATATATCTAATTTGGTATTTCAAAACTGACCATCTAAATCAATATTTAGGATTTAACTATGGCAAGTATTTAGGGTTATCATACAAGAAAAAATAATTTTGTTATGGCGTTGTTCCATTTGGTGGGGGTGGTTATGCTCCAACATTAGACTTTAAAGTTATAGGATTTAAATGGTGCTTATAGTCATATGCATCTAGGTCTAAATGCCTGGATTGGATCTTAATAAAGAAAATAATGCTTCATTGTTTATAGCAAAACATAATTTGCAGGCATTTTGGAACATAAGGTACATTCCGATTCACAACATGCAGAAAAAACATATGCTACATACTAAAAACATGTTTTCCTAGCTTGATGTCTGAACTTCAATGCATAGCATGTTAGCCCTCGCCGTTTGTTTTATTGCACAAATAGTACAAGGAGTCTAGCACACAAAAAGTCTCTATCTAGCCCAATCATGTGAGATCTCCCTCCAAATTGTTTGAGGATTCCTAAATAGTTATTAGTAGGTATAAGCATTGGAGTTAATTTTTTATTCAGGTTACAATATTGTCAAAGTAACCTTCTCAAGAAATAAGTTTTCTTTGCCATGAATATGAAACCCTTATTTCTGGTGTGGAACTTGTAGAGTACTGGTGAAATTGTGACTTTCCAATTTTGTTTCTTCTCTTTTCCTTCAATTTACTGCTTACTTTCTTTGTCTTGTCCATAATTATCTTCTCACTTCGAGAGAAATAAGTGGTGGTAGTCAACTTTTTGATGAATGATGATCTATCAAATACTTGTTCCAAAATATCTACAAGAAATTGGTGATAAGATCTAGCTGTTTCAATAATCGTAGGATTAGTGCTTTTCACCCTTTCAGTCACCTAATTCCTTGGTTTTTATTTGCATCTAAGGCAGTTACTAATTATCTTGCTTCTTGTTGATTCCTTTTTATTTGCGCGTTAGCATGAATAGCATACAAAATACTTCAAAAAATAACTTTAATTACTTTTAATCTTTTAGCATTATTTGTAATCATTAGGCTACATTTTTTACATTAATAAGATCATGATATCATCCAATATCCAAAATAAAATAAAATAATATTAAAGTGCATAATTAAAGAAATAAAAAAAACAAGTTCATTTGAAGCCCAGCACTCTTAAAGTATGAAATTTAACATCACCATAAGGTTATTAGAAAGGAAAGCAGTACAATTCTTACATAGTCTATAGTACCATATCCAGCAAAAACATAGAAAAGATTTTTAATTTGTATAGCAGCCCCATCTAGACGAGGTACAGGTGCTGATGGCATCTCCTCCCATTCTAAATGTGGTGCTTCTAAATCGGCAAATGTTGCATTAAAGTATTTTGTAGGTGTCATATGGTCAGCCTTGATTTTTGTATTTAGCTGCAACACAAGAATAAAACAAAAAAAGAATCAGATGATCGTTACCAAACTGATCAAAATGCCGGAGAAGACTGAAGCTTGGAAATAAAATAAATGCATGTCTCCAACATATCATAAAAAATCATTAATATTTCAAGTGTCCCTTACTTTTGGCTGGACTCAGCAATGCGGACACAACCAAATGACTAGATAGCCATGACACCTTTTGCACGATGGAAGTGAAACAAGAGGCGGGTAAAAGTAGTTGATCATGGGCTAAATGAATGGCTACACTTGGGCAATCATAGTAAAATTATAAATCTGGTTTTTAAAAAAATTAATTTTTGTAAAATATGTAAGCCTGTCTAGCCATCAGTTGTCCTGAAATTGAGAATTCCTGATGGGTATCATGTTGAGGACCAGTTCTAAATGAAGAACTTCTCTTGGTGAATTCAATATTGAGTGCATTCTTAGTGGGTGAATAGCTTTAGTGAATTTCACGGCATTAGTTGTCATGTCATTTTCCTTTACTATTTCAGCATAAAGGCAATAATATCCAAGCAACATGACCATCATGCTCCATTGCTCCTAGCGTAATTTTCATGTTTTTTGCAGATTGATTCGATTATGGAAACTTACTAAAACCAATCTCTGTTAGAAATATGACATTACAGATTTGACCCAAACAACTGTGGGGAAAAGCCTGGTGATGACAAAGAAAACGCCGCCCCATTTTGAACGCCTGGAATTTCACGATTCACGAACGGAAGTTAATTGAGAATCAAAAATCAAGAAATCACGAACAAGATGTGATCGAGAATAGCAAATTGAGCAATCACGATAAAAATAAAAAATCCGCGTTCGGACCATTAGAGATTTGATTGGATGATGATTGTTTTCCAGTCATTGTATTTGTATTTATAAGTGCGAGAGTTTAGTTGTGAGGGAATAAATGAGACGAACCCAAAATCTCTAACATTCCAACTCTATCAGAAACAAAACTGCATTTCTCAAAGAAATTAAATGGGAAAAATACCAGCATTTTTATTAAAGCAGTCGCGATTAACCTTACCTTGTTGTTGTCGGTCAAGCCGAGACCAACGGCGCGCTGCATCGTCGTAGGCAGCTGGGAGAAAGGATCGAAAGATGAGATCCGAGACGAAAACCTCCACAGGTTGTCACCAACAAAGCCGATGCCGAGCAGCGCAATGCAGAACAAGGCAATTGCATGCCCCCTCGGCGCATGCTTCCCCCCTAACTTCTCCATTTCAGCCCGACACAAGAGCGAAAGACCGGAAGGGGGGACGATGGTAAAATAGAGGCAGGGAGAGAAAGAGGGAGAGAGCGAATACGACGGTAGGGAAATGGTGAGCTGGGGAAGAGAAACTTATGTATTGGATGTGTAAAGACAATGAAAAAAATACGGTGGACGAGAGACGCCGCTGGTTTAAGAGGAGTTTGGTCATGGAGAAATGGCCCATCCGCCTATATGGCGAGCGAAGAGATGCTGGAAATTCAGCCTCATTCCGGAAATGGCGGACGAAGCCAGAGGCCATTTCCAGGACCGCCGCAATACCGGTTCCCGACCAGGACCGCCGCTTCTTAACCGGTTTACCGACGAAACAGCCACAGCTTTTTTTTGCATAATTTTCTTAGAAAATATTATAAATATAAAAATTAAATTTTAGAAGATAAATTTATAAATATATAAGAATTAAGCGATATGCATGTAGATTTATATTATATATATATATATATATATATATATGTCTAACATTGGTTAAAGTAAATGAGGAATAAATGGAGGAATGTGTCAACCGAACAACAAACTGTAGAACAAGAAGAGCACTTTATGGTCGAATCATTAAAAAGTATGATGATCATCCTCAATTGGTCAAACTAAGGTGCAACGATCGACTAAAAGCTGATAAGATGGATCAAAGGAAAACGATCGACAGTGCACCCAGCGATCACCGGGACTCTCTCTGATCGTATAAGCTCATTTATCATTTAATGTACCTGGCAAATGTAGTGTACTAAAAAAATCTCCTCATAAACAAATGATTAGATGACATACTTGAAAATTTAAAACTCATACCCTAGGTTTATAAATAGATTGTCAACTTTGAAAAAATGTTGCATTTTATTTACTGTTCATAATTATCTATTTTTTTTCTATGACACTATTCACGGACATTTTCGGATTCAAAATCATTTTAGGTGGGATGAGAATGGAACCATGTTGTCAACAAAAAAAAGAGCACAACAGCAGCTCAATACCAACTTGAGAGATATAGTAGAAGCAGAATGTGAGTTTGCAGAAGAGGTCGTGCAATGAGGGCTACAGGCCTTGAGAACTCAAATCACGAATCAGATATTGAAACAGTTCGCAAAGGTCCTTAAAGCTATCATAGCTCTAGAGGCAGCCACGGCTTTAGGAGAACATGTTCAGCGAGAAGCACAAAACCTCCCTCGAGAGAGAGCCCCGACGCACAATGGGAGGAGGTTGGACCATCCCTCAGAGAGAGTTGAGGACATAATGTACCAGGATAGCAATAGATTTGTTCCGATGGTGGAGAGACGACGGTTAGGGTGAGCCGAAGTGTTGCGACAACTAGAGAACGCTTGTTCCCTTCAAATCCTAGGAGTATGACTGCACGAGAAATTCAAACTATCAGATTTGACGAATTTGTATGCTTTTTGAAGAGTTGTTTGATACACCTCTTGGAAATTTGGCATTATGCTCTATTTAAAGCGAAAATTGATCAGTAAAAGGAGTTTGCTAGTGTGTCATTGACTTTCCTTTAGTGTGTTCATTGTGTGTATTGTGTAGTGTGGTGAGTCTAAGTGTGAATTCCTCTAAGATTCCTTTAAGAGTTGTTGGAGAGGGATACAAGTGAGAAATTTCTTCTTCCCTGCATCTTCGAAGAGAGAATCAAGAGTCTTGTAACGAGAGAAAGAGTCAAAGAGGAGCTATAAGGGATTTGCTTTGAGAAAGAGTTAAAGATAAGTGGTGTTTGTTTATTATTGTTGTATAAATTTTCTTTTATTTATGAAATTCGTATTTTGTCGTATCTTTCTCATGAGGTATGAGTAGTTTTTTTTGTCTTTTTTCCTACTCTGAGATATGGTGAAATAAAGAGATAATTTGGATGTGTCAATTTTAAAATATAAAATAAATTGTGATGATTTTTTCACTCTGTTCTTAATTTGCTTTTCGATTTGGCCAATTGAAATGTTAACATTTTTTTGTGAAACATATTATCCGGGAAATAGAGTATGAGTTTCACAACAAAGTGAGAATCACATTCGATGAAGGAGTGTTTTGTTCATGGAATTTGGTGCAAATAAATAAGGAAATATATAATACTTGACGAAGAATTGGAGATTCTAGGGTGACAGACTAAAATCATCACTTTAGTCTCAATTTAGTCTTAGTGTTCAAAAACTAAAGCGAGAGTTAACCCCTTTAGGGGAAGGGAAGTGGGAGCTCTAGAGTGAGAGCCAGTATACTCCCAGCCTAACCAAGGATTTAGAGACTAAATCTAATATTGGCCAACGATTCTCTATAACACTTGAATAAGGGTAAAGAATTAAAATTGCTTCTAGTTGGCACAAAACAAATTAAAACCATTTATCTCTCTCATTTAACCAAAAACTTCAATTTTATTGGCCGCCTCGACGCAAATAACCAATCATTGGGGTTTGATATGCCATCCCGGGCCAATCACCCTACCTTTAGTGTTTTATTGACCGCTACGTGTTGATCACCCGCTTTAGGTTCAATCAGCTGCTATGAGCCGATCACCATATCCCTTGGTTTCGATTGACCGCTACATATCGATCACCTAATTTTCAAGTTTGATCGGTCGTCACACATTGATCACCCAATCATTTTGGTTTCATCGGCTACCCCTGACAGATGACCCAATCCTTTTGGTTTGATCAATCGCTACGTGTCAATCACCAGCTTTGGGTTCGATCTACCATCTCGGGTCGATCACGCTAACTTTTGGGTTTGATTGTCTGCCGCGCGTTGGCCACCCAATCCTTTTATGTTTGAATGGTCCTCCCGAGCTGATCACCCACTCTTTCAAGTCTTATCGATCACCCTAGATCGATTCACCTGTTTCTTTGGTCCGACTAACCACCACGACGTAGTCGACCAACCAATTGCATCACATTACATGTTTTCTTTGCACGCACATGAAAAATATTCCTACTTTATGTCTACAATGTATTCATTACATGTAAAAATGTATTCATTGTCTTGTAAATGCTTTTCAAGTGACATGTTTGGGTGTCTACCTTAGCATCCTTGTTCGGGGGTATCTCTCTGTGCATCTCACCTTGGGTGTTTCTTTGAGCACTCACACTTGTATAATTCTCCCAGGTTAGGATCATCACCCCTTTCGAATCACTACCTCCACAGCATGCCCATTCTTTGGGGCCGACCCTTTCGAGTTACGACCTCCACAACACACTCCTCCTCTGAGTTGCTACCTCTACAACACGCCCACCCTTTCGGATTACTGCCTCCACGACATACCAATCATTTGGGTCGTTGACTTCACAGCATGCCCACCCACCCTTTTGGATCATTACCTCCACAACATATTGTTGGGTAATGTGAAAACCCGGTCCACCGAATTTAATTAGCTTCTCAATTAATATGCCACCTACCGCTCACCTACCACACCCACCTACCGCTTATGTCACCTACCGCTCACCTACCACACCCTCCTACCGCTCACCTACCTCCCACATACCGCTCTCCTAGTTTCTATAAATAGCCTTTTATGGCTTGGCTAAAACCAAAATGCAAGTCAAGCAAGACCAAACCATGTCATCTTGAGAGCTAAGAGAAAGAGAGGAAGAGAGAGAGAGAGAAAGGGAGAGAAGAAAATATAGATTTTATTGTAAATGTCGAGGCGCTCGACAGTGTAATTCCTCGAAAAAATAAATCCTCTGCAGCTCCGTGGACATAGGCAAATTTGTTGAACCACGTAAATCTGTGTGTCGCTCTGGTGTTTTTCTGCGTGCGATTTTTTCTCATTCCATTTTTCACTTTATTGTCGTCGTTTTTCACAACAACAGGTATCAGAGCTTTGGTTCGAATATAAGAAGGAACGATGAGCAGAGACGAAGTGATGACCTCGGGGATCGAGAAGTTAAATGACCCAGATTTTGCTTACTGGAGAATACAGATAGATGACTACATTTATGAGAAGAAACTTCATCTTCCGTTACTGGGAAAACGACCAGAAAAGATAGACGAGACGGAATGGAAACTGTTGGATCGACAGGTTCTGGGGATTATACGATCAACCTTGTCGAGATTGATTGCCCACAACGTCATCAATGAGAGGACTACTGCAGATCTCATAGCGGCTTTATCAGGTATGTATGAAAAGTCATCGACGAATAACAAGTTACATTTGATGAAAAAGTTATTCAACTTGAAGATGGTGGAAGGTGTGTTTGTTGCTAAACACCTGAATGATTTTAACACTATCACAAATCAGTTGTTGTCTTGTTGAAATTGATTTTCATGATGAGATATGTGCACTGATATTGTTGGCTTCATTGTCAAATAGTTGGGAAGCTATGAGGATGACAACTAGTAGTTCTGCAGGTAAATTTAAGCTGAAATATGATGATATTCGTGATTTGATTTTGGCTAAGGAGGTGCACAGGAAAGATTCTGGTGAGACCTCGAGTTCGAGTTTGACACTGATTGTTGATTCCAGAGGGAGATCACAAGACAGAAACTCAAATCGTGAAAGATCAAAATTAAAGTCAGGTCAGCAGGCAACCTGCTGGAATTGTGGCAAGGCTGGCCACATAAAAAGGAACTGCAGGAATCCTAAGAAGAATGAGAATGGTAGCGCTAATTTTGTAACTGAAGAAACACAGGATGCACTATTTCTGGCAGTTCACAGTTTTGTTGATGACCGGATACTAGATTTAGGGGCTTTCTTCCATACATCTTCCCGTATGGAGTTAATGCGAAATTATGTTGCAGGTAACTTTGGGAAGGTATATCTGGCTGATGGAAAATCTCTAGACGTGATGGGAATGAGAGACGTTGATATTGCATTCCATAACAAGAGCAAATGGACTTTGCAAAAGGTTTACTCAGGTGAGGACACATGAGTCAGAGGTGCATTATGGGGAAGCAGAAGAAGTTCAATTTCCTGAAAAGTGGTAGAGTGTCAGAGGTAGAAAAACCGGACCTTGTACAGACAAATGGTGGAGAACCACAGAGTTCTGAAGAAATCTTGCAAGATGAGAATTCAAGCAAATTTTTAAGCAAGTGGGAGCTGACCAAGAAGGAGGAGACGAATTTCCTGCCAGAGAATCAGACTTGAGAGCTGACAGAACTTCCACCAAGGAAGAAGACATTGCACAACAAGTGAGTGTACCAAGTGAAGACTGCACTTGATGGTAGTAAGAGGTACAAAACTGGACTTGTTGAAAAGGGCTTTCAGCAGGGGTAGGATATTGTTAATGCAGTGGGAGTTGTAAGCAGATACAAGAGTAACCCAGGAAAGAGCTTGGTGGTACGAGGCTGCGTTGCCGGTGATATGTCA